CATGTACTGTATATGCAGATGCAAGTGCATCATGTGATTTGCATCCACAAATTCAGATTTGAATACCAAATAAGTGTTTTTGCACATGCAGCAAAGTGTAATTATAATAAATATGATTTTTAGTTTAAGACCACTTGATGTAATATGATGTCACATCAACAGTACAGAGAGTACTCAGAAATTAAAATGATTTCACCCCAATATTAGTGCAATACATCCAGTAGAGATTATCAGATTTATTCACATTAAAATGCATTTGTACAATATTGTTATTCTATTATTATTATCATCACATTTTTATAGTTTTGGTCAGTCAGCTATTTTCCTGATTGGTGGTCACACTAAGTCCATCCCACCATTAGCCCTCATGATAAGGAGTGGGGATATCATAATAATGTCAAAGGAGAGCAGATTAGCCTATCATGGTGTACCTAAAATCCTAAGACCAGGCAATGATGATGCTCCCATTCCTTACTGCCTGAATAGAGAAGCACTTTTAAAGAGAAGAGAAATACAGAAAGACAATACCAAGTGCTATATATGTGGATCCACACTAAAAAAATTATATTTACTCAATATCTTCATCTCCTACCTTGCATTAGCCTGGAATGTCAACTGCAGAATTTATTTAAATTTTTTTCTCCATTCCCCCATTCATTCTTGGCCTTCTTGCCACCCAAAATGGTGGACAATTTAGCTCAATTTTAGCCACACCCTCCCGTTGATTACTTCCGTGCAACAGCTCTATAGCAGTATGCTTGAAATGATCTTGGCCCCACCCGTAATTGACGAAAATGCAGGAAAAGGCCGTTTTACCGCCGTAAAAGTGGGTGTGACCAAAATCGCGGCGCGCTTTGCACGCCCTTAGCACCTCCTTCCCCAATTCCTAGATACGCCCCTGCATTATTGTAAGTATAATTTGTTTGTTGTTTGTTTATATTATTTGTTTGTTGTTGTTTAGACGTTTACTGGTCATGGTAATGCTGTGAATGAGTTACAGATTCATCCAAAAGACAATAACCTCCTACTATCAGCTAGTAAAGGTATATATATGTACATCAATATGCATGTGAATATGATACATACACATAATGTTAAAGGGAAAAGATTTTATTCATGTACATGTACATGTACATGAATATGTACAGACTAGCCTCTATATAATGGACACTTTCATACAAGAAAATTGCTTTGTTATACAGAGGTGTCCTTTATGTGGAGGTTATTTTATACAGTAAGGAATGTAATTGGTACACTAGGTGCTGTCCGTTAAATGGAGGTGTACGCTATAGAGAGTGTGGCTATAGTATGCTTTATTCCTGTGGAAAAGAACTTTATAATGATAATAATGATAATTGTGTAATACCCCATTTATTCATTATCATTTGATTATTATTATTATTAATTGAAGGGCGTGGTTTCTGCACCATTGCTCGTGTTCTTTTGAAGTGTTCTTGTATTACTCTTTAGTAAGAGAGTCTTCTTTTAAGCTGAATCTCTGTTAACTTGTCTTCACCCTATTACGATAGGGAAAATATTAAGCAATAGCCCCCAGCGTCGTTACAATTGTTTTCTTCATTTTTAGGATTTTAATTTCGAAGGCACTTGTATATTATCAGCTGGTATGGATCATGCACTGAAGATGTGGGACCTCCAAACTGATGAATACACTGACGTCATTAGGCAATCATATGAACATGTTAAAGGATCAAAAGAGTAAGAGAGAGAGGAAATGGATTTTTTGAAAAATTAATTTTTAATTACTTTTACGAAATTCATTAATCTAAGATTTTGTAGGTACATGTACATGTACACATGTAGTACTAGTAATTTAATTATTGTTAATATACATGTTCATAATGCATGTACAGTAATATGTGTAAGAAATATAGTACTGTGACATATAAGGTATGTACATGCACATGTACAGTACATACCTTAAGCCCAACATACACTGAGCAACTTTGTTGCCAGTACCTTTGATGTGGTGAGGCAACTTGTTGCCAGAAGTTGAGAGTCTCTCTGCTTTCTGCACAACCACATCAAAGGTCTGACCACAAGTTGCCAGCAACAAAGTTGCTCAGTGTATGTTGGGCTTTATATTATTGTTAGTATACATGTAAATGTATATGTACATATACCGGTATGTGCAGTAATGCAAGTGCATGTACATGTATGTGTAAAT